CCCAGCTTATAATTTAGCTTTTTTTTTCATCGATATTTTATCAAATTAAAATTTATTTTATATAAGAAAAACTACCACTTTCTTTCCAAAATTCTTTCTCACCTGAGCCCAGTGGACGAGTCACTCGGCTGAAAAGTTAACTCACGTCGAAATGACGAGTTTCAAGCTGAAGCAGCTACACTTATCTAAAAACGAAAGAAGTTAATCTGAAAAAAAGAGATGTTCCTGTTTAAATTTTCACGTTTTATACACTTCTACAGGCGCAAAACAAATCGGTTAATATACTATACATTGTCCCTAAGAAATCCCTAGAAAGTCACCAGTGGATCACCTGCGCCTTCATTTTTTCTCCCCACTCCCTGAATTTCAGGGTGTCACCAGAGATTTTACAGGGAATCCCATAGAATTCTCTAGGGGTTTCATGTTTTTTGAGGGATTAACCAAGGGCTTCATCAGGGACAGTGAGCTATGATATACGTATGATATCTACTTTGACTGTGGGTTGGACACAGCTGTACAAAATAGTTAGAAGTATGTATAATTTTACGAAATAAACACATTCGATGCACACACAGTAGCTGTTGACTAAAAAGCCATGAAAAATTCTTCAGAAATTTTCGCTGCGATGTGCCTCTAATAGCACGAAAAACGGCTAAGCCTGCCTGAAATTCTAACTGGGTAAAACAAAGAATATTTGTTGTTGTTGTCCCATCATAAATAACAATACCATAACTTAAGTCGCTCAAAACAAAAGCAGGGGAAATAGAATCGAGGGTTTGTCTAGATGCACCTCTACGTAGGTATTTCATAGAACCAGTCCTCAGTGGTAGTTTCGCACGTAAAGCATCAATATGAGGCAACCAGTCTAGTGACGGAGTTAGAGTCAACCCCAAACGAACGTGTTTCTCGACAAACTCTAACACTACATTATCAAGTGTTAAAGGAGAAGGCGATATTAGGGTTTTATTACAAGAGAATAACATCGCGGCACACTTTTTTACATTGAGCGGTAACATTCATGATTGTGGCCAATGATTCATCCTGTCCAGAGCATCGTTCATCATCTTCACAGCTTTTACTATATTGCTTGCTTCAATATACAACGAAACATCATCCGAGAACAATTTAGAAATAGAGGAAAGCCCCTGTGGGAGATCATCGATAAATACCGGTTACTGATTTTATTACGTTCCACATTATGTACCACTTCCCATGAAATCATTTTGATACTCTAACGCACGTTAACAGGCGTTAAATAAAAGAAAAATTTGATGTGTGCACACTAGCTAAATACCGTTGAATACGTGCAAATGCGTAATTTTTCAAACCTATATGGGACTGAAAATTAATTCTAATGCACTCAAATGCGCTTTTATAAAAAAATATGAAAACAACGTTCAAACTCATTAATCACGAAAATTTTATAACCCTAACGCGTTAAATGTTTCATATTTGGTGATTCTAACGAGTAAGAATTTGTAGTGCGTGATAACGCCTCCACTTAATCGTAAATCGTTTAAATTCGTTAAAAATTAAATAAGTTAACTTCTTGGATGCGTTTACACTCGTTAGAATAATACTTCGGATAAAAATGTAATTTTAACGCGTGATAGTGCATTTATCCTTCAAATCCGGTGTTCTGTTGATGGATCCCAAGATTCACCTAGCTATGGTCTACCAGATACTGTTCATCAGCACCATTATGGCAGACTAGTCTCTTACACATATATATAGTAAGAGGAAAACTTAGAAAACTTTCTAAGTGAATACATCGTATATCTCGTAGGGAAGGACATGGTCTATTTGTGTATGAGTTAGTCATGCAAAACAAAATGGTGACTGGAAATTACCGTTCTAACGTACTAGAACGCTTACTTGGTGAGTCATCGTTCAACGAGTTTTAACGAATTAAAATGTATTCTGATCCGTTCAAACCGGCTAAGATAAACTTTTATTCAGGAATGTACGTGTATTCTTCATTTTTAAACGAGTTTTTACCATATGTCATCGATTTTTGGAAAACTTGAATGCGTGGAAATTCGTTAAACTGCTTAGAATCATACTTAACCGGATGTGACTCGTTACCGCTCCGAAGAAACGTTAACACACGTTATATTTGAAAATTTAATCCGTTCAAACGCGATTTTCTTGAAAAAAACCTTTTCTAACGCGCGCTAACCGGCGTATCAAAATTATTTCATGTAAAAGCTAGTTCTATTTACTATGAAAAAACGGATTTTTTCCAATATATTTAGTCTTTCATGAGATATTCATATTTTTCCATTTTGTAGACCATATCTTTCTCTGCAACCCCACATCATTTGATTCCAAACAGAGATAAATTTCAGTTAGAAAAAAGTTGATCTTTGCTCTGTTACGTACGCATCTTGGAATTATATCGGATGAGATTTCAAAGGGTGATGTCGAGCCAAAGAAAAAACTGGAGATGATTGTCAATAAACAGAATTGATACAGCTTCCACACTGTAAAAAATAAAGTGTGCCCGCTAGTGTGCATTCTCCCAAGTATGCATTTCGAGTCCAAAGTGATGTGCAAAATGTCACTGTGTAATCTGAACTTTTATCTTGCATTTCTCTACGGAAAAAACGGAAGAAGTATTCTTCTCTTTGCCAAAGAGAACGAGAAAAAAGACCAAAGAGTCTTTGGTCTTTTGTCTCGTTCTGTCTATGGAAGTTATATGTGCAATTCCTGTGTGTTAGTTGTACACTGGACAAGCCGTTTACAGTGTGCAAAAACAGTCCAACGTGATGTGCACATTCAGTGTGCCCCGGGTACACTTTATTTTGTACAGTGCAGTGCGTGATAAAAGTTGATAAGAAAATATAATTGAAACAGTACGGTTTTTGGACAGAAAATTCTATTCTATTGTTGGAAGTCGAGGCTGTTCCCATAAAATGTTCGATGAGATTTTTGATTTTGTTTTTTCAATATCTCAATAAATAATACTCTAATCAAGACCAAACTTTGATCATTGTTAGACCTCGCGAAATCTGATATTTGATAAAAAAATTAACTTGAAATATTGCGTCAGCGAAGAGAAATTTGAAAAATAAGCGAATAATGTCCTATGAGCTTTTTAAGAAAGAAATGGCTGGTGAGATTTCTAAATGCTTACCCTAGAGAATGTCTAGTTTGTCTGGTCTTGAAAACAGAGTAAAGACTTATTTACTTACAGGTGTCTGTTGCCTGCTGTTTTTTTCTTGTTCTGGTCAGACCAAGGTCAAAACAAAAACGATTAGCGAGCAGCACACCTTATTTTGCATATATCCAACAAGCTCGCGGTCTTGATTTCTTTCACTGATCAGAAGCAAAACAAGCAAGGACCTTTTTTACTTACAGGCACCTGACCAGTGATCTGACCACACAAACTGGACATCCTTTAGGGTATTGTCAATGAAAATAAAAACGAAACTCGACTTGTTATGCTGGATTCGTCTGAGTGCACGCTATTTAACCGTCAAAAGCAAAAAGTACTAGTGTCTGTCCAAAAATTCAGTAGACTCGGATAGTTTTTGAATAACTCAGCATCAAGTAAAGATAGGTACTTGCGATTTTCACCATTCGATAGCCAAGAATTGAGGCTATCTTTCCATAAGCAAAAACGATTTCGGAAAAAATTACGAAGCCGGTTTTTTAGAGGGTCTTTAAAACACTAGCTTGGATTTTCCGAAATTCAAATAGGAATCTATTGATTTTTTTCATAGATAGATAGTCCAAAGTGTCCTGTACAAAATGGGATCTAAGCAAAAGTTGTATTTTGCTCAGCCCGGGAACTTTGAAGGTTTTTCCCAAAGCAGTAAGACTCACCGGTCCTTCAGTTTCGGACCTTTGAAAATGCATGAAAACATTGGCTGTTGACTATGCTGAATCTCGTGGCAATGTTAGTTTTCAGAACAAAATGCAAAGACTGAGTGAAAACCTGCACTAGGTAAAATAACCCATTTTGGGCTATTTACATAAAAAATTAGAAAATTCATAACTCAGTCAAAATCCATCCAACCCACTTCACAATGTCCGAAAATACTCTGTTTTATCTGCAGCATAGCATAAAGCTCAATAAATGCTGAAAAAACCAACAGAAAATACTTTGGTTTTGAGAAAGGTTTTGCAGTAACCTTCGGAACTAAGAGAATGTCTTTTATTGATTTTAAGTATAGAATCAGAACGACTGGATAAAATAGAGTATTTTCTGACATTATATTGAAATGCTTAGATCCCATTTTGTACAGGACACTTTGGACTATCTATCTATGAAAAAAATCAATAGATTCCTATTTGAATTTCGGAAAATCCAAGCTAGTGTTTCAAAGACCCTCTAAAAAACCGGCTTCGTAATTTTTTCCGAAATCGTTTTTGCTTATGGAAAGATAGCCTCAATTCTTGGCTATCGAATGGTGAAAATCGCAAGTACCTATCTTTACTTGATGCTGAGTTATTCAAAAACTATCCGAGTACACTGAATTTTTGAACAGACAGTCGTTTAGGATTTTCAAAGCTCACTTTTCGGTGAAAGACTTTTGTTTTTCCGGCATTTTCACAAGCAGATTTACACGATAAAGTTTTAAGAGTTGCAACCTGTAGTATTAAAAACACAATAATTCACTGTTTTGAGTATAAAGTGTCAGGAGAAAGCTTGTATTATTAGCCCATTAACCTATCAAGTAATAAAACTCAACCCGACACTCAGAACGTCTTTTTGTACACAAATTTATTTTATGAAATTTTTTTCGCTAAACAATACAATAGCTATGTCGTGCACTCATGTCATTTATGGTTTCAATGTGTTACAGCAGAATATACATTAAATTACTGAAGAAAAACAATATCCATTCTCAAGGTATTCTGTTCCTTGTATACGCATCTAGCGTTAATCTATCGTTTTATTTTTTTACCACTGATTTTGTTGATATTCTTGTGCGTCGTTTTATTTTTCTACGTTTTATGCTATACCATAGAAGAAATGTGCAACTTGTACAAATAACGTTTGTTTGAAGGGACAGAAAAGAAAAAGAAAGAAGATATAGACGAAATTATTTTCGCATGAACCGAGAATAATGTGAGTTATATAAACAGTGTATAGTTTGTCTATGAAAATACGAACATAATTACCGGAAACACGTTGAAGGTTGATAAACAACAAATATTAAATTATGCATGTGTTAGTCTATTAAAGAGTGTTCGTATTTCACAGTACATTACATAGAAAGCCTTTACCCTTCCACTGATAAAGATTCCATCTGAAAGAACAATTTCAAGTACTGGAAATTATGTAATTTTTTGCATGTGTCAAGAAAACAGGTTATAAGGCTAAAAAGAGTGTTATACTCTATTACCGATACACAGCGCCATCTTTAATATAACATACACCTTTTCATCTTCGAGGAAGCACAGTTGAAGTATAAAAGCTTTTGTATCGACAGAAATCCTATTTTACCAGGAAAATATCTCATGTGCAACGCTATTAGACTACTTACTGAGGCAGTGAAAGTCTCCGATGGTGTTCTATGTAAATAACGTTGACCAATCAAATTCAATGAAAACAATCTTTCTTTGCTCTCACTGGTACATGTACATACTTATATCGATTAATCAGTGATTAATCAAATCAATATTCTTTTCTTAAATTAAATTATGAAAAAATGACATTATTTCATGTTTTAATATTACATTTTCTTTGTTTTCTATCCGTACTAAAAGCGAAACTATTATTGTCAGGATTGCTCACTTATTAACAAGCTTATCTTTTTTTTTATTAAAAGATATGTAAAATTACATATCAATATGGCTAAAGTATATAATTTCGATTGGCAAATCGAAGTAGCCGAACGATTAATGAAAGGTGATTATTTTGATCGTTGGGATGAAGAAAGTGGTTCATATGAACAAAATTGTCTATTTCGTGTTGATTGTTATGGATTTTTTATTCATTGGCAATCGGATGGAAAAGAGGGACAAGTTATTGAATTATCACAAGTGAGCGATATTAGACCAGGAAAAGGTATGAATTTATTAAGAATTTGATTTAATTATTTAAATACATGAATTGTATGTATAATTTCTAAAAAGTAACATTATTTGTTTTCTCTCTTCATTTATAGCTCCCAATGATCCAAAGTTGAATGCTGATCTAATGTTAAATTCTTTAACACATGGACGTGGAAATCTTGACGAACGAACTGTAACAATTTGTAGTGGATACGATTTAGTGCAAATTAATCATACAAATATAACAGCAGAAGATAATATAACAGCCAAAGTAAATAAAACATTAAACATAAATATATTGTCTATGGGAAAAAAATGAGTTAATGTGTTGTTGTTTTTTTGTGTTAGGCGTGGATTGAAGGTCTACGAAAAATTACTCATAATCATAAAGCAAATAATATATGTCCAACTACAAGTTTAAGAAAACAGTGAGTAGATGTTTCTATTGTTTAAATTTTTTTTTCTTCATTATGATTGTTTAATTTAGTTGGATGAAATTATCTTTTTCGTTAAATCCAGCTAAGAAAATTCCAGTGAGAAGGTAAAATGATAATTATAATTTAACAAAACCTCATGTTTTATTGTTGTTGTTTTTTTTTGTTAATTATAGTATCACTCGAACATTTGCATCTGGTAAAACAGAAAGAATGATATTTCAAATATTAAAAGAACTTGGATTACCTAGTGGAAAAGTAGGTGTCATTTCTATGTTAGAATAGCTATTTTTTTTTCTAATTTTATTTATTTTTTATTTAGATGGACGATATTGAACCAGCCGATTTTACTTTTGAGAAATTTTGTGATTTATATCATAAAATATGTCCAAGAGATGATGTTACAGATTTATTTAAAACTTTGTACGTATTTTAAACATATTATGATTGAATAACTCTTTTGTCAAACTCTGTCTATTCATATTCATTTTTAGATCTAATGGTAAAGATTATATAACAGTGACAACATTTGTCAATTGGCTAAATGAGGTAAATATTTTATTCTTTCTTTTTGTTATTGATATTATAATTGTTTATTTTGTTTTATTTTTTTTTAGACTCAACGTGATCCACGTTTAAATGAAATATTATTTCCATTTTATGATGAAAAAAGTGCAATTAGAATTATTGATACATATGAACAACGAGCAAATTATAAAGATAGAGGTATGAATTGGAAAAAAAATTCTTTAAATATATATTTATTTTTTCATCTGTTACTATTTTACTTTTATTTTTAGATCATTTGAGTTGTGATGGTTTTGCTCGTTATTTAATGTCAGATGAAAATGCTCCAGTATTTTTAGATCGTTTAGAAGTACATCATGATATGGATCAACCACTTTGTCATTATTTAATTAATTCATCTCATAATACATATTTATCTGGAAGACAATTAGGAGGAAAATCAAGTGTAGAAATGTATAGACAAGTACTGTTAGCTGGTTGCAGGTAACTAGTTTTTTGTTATTATAATTACTTTTTTCTCAGAGAATATTGATGCAAAAAAAAATGATGAGTTTAAAGTTCATCTTATTAAACTGATGATGAGTTTCATCTTATTGAACTTTCGCCCCTTTCTGAATTTTTGCACTTATTTTTTAATTATAACTACGATATCTATGATTTCTTAATAGAAATAAATTTTTTATACTTTTCTCTTTATTATTGAATTTTTTAGATGTGTCGAATTAGATTGTTGGGATGGTAAAGCTTTGAATTCTGAAGAACCGATCATTACTCATGGAAAGGCAATGTGTACTGATATTGTATTTAAAGATGTTATTGTTGCCATTCGTGATACGGCATTTGTTACATCTGACTATCCTCTTATTCTATCATTTGAAAATCATTGTTCAAAAGCCCAACAATATAAATTAGCCAAATATTGTGAAGATATACTTGGTGATCTATTATTAACAAAACCATTAGAATCACATCCAGTAAGTATAAAATATTAGAATAGATTTATATTCTTAATTTTTTATTTATATATTCTAAGTAGAAAAGCCCCAAAAATCGATTTCAATTAAGTTATCTAAAGTAATTTTAGTTGCTTAATTTCTTTAGATAAAAAAAATAGAGTTCATAGTCATCTATTCAGATTATTCCTATTTGTTTCATTAATTATGTCTTTTGATTTATCGATGCTTATACTGTATATTCTTTCAGATGTTAACTATCATCTTTGTCTCGGGTAATGAATGCTTTAGATCTTACTCACATTTGTGTGAATTTGAAAAGACTTACAACTTTTGTTTTCTTTTGAGAAAACTATTAATGATTAACATTGTGTGTGTCAGTGAATTAGTTTCTTTTTTTGTTTGAATTTTTGTTGTTATTAATTGTGTTTTTATTGTATATTTTATTTATTTTAGCTTCAACCTAATGTTCCATTACCAAGTCCAAATTTGTTAAAACGAAAAATTCTCATTAAAAATAAGCGTTTAAAACCAGATGTAGAAAAAAGTAAGTGATAAAACTTTTTTGTCTATTAGTTTGAAATGATAAATGTTCTTTTCAATAAAATAATAAAACACTATCTTATATTTTTTTTGTTTAGAACAATTGGAACAATGGCGTCAAGGTCAAATAAATGAAGTTAATAATGAGACAGAAGGTGATTCAGCAGCAAATGTAGAAGGAGAAGATGGACCAGCATTACTTGGTAAATAATATTCTTTTTTTTAAGTTCTTTATCTATATAATTATATATTTTTATATGTAGATGAGATAAAATTACGTGAACAACATGAAGAAGCTCATCCAGAATTAAGTGTCGATTTAAATGAAGAAAAACGAAATCCATTTTCATTTGGAGGATCTAAACAGAAGGTAAGTATTAAACAAAACAAAAAAAAAGACCACACACGTTCAATTCTCATAAATAATAACTTTTGTTATCATCAATCAATTGTTTTCGACTGATTATTAATATTTTTTTATTCTTTATTTTCTAGGCTATTATTTTATCAAAAGAAGAAGAAGAAGCATTATTAAATCATTATCAGTATAGGGGAGCTACAATCAATATTCATCCATATCTCTCATCACTAGTTAACTATGCTCAACCAATTAAATTTCGTGGTTTTGAACTTGCTGAACAAAAAAATATTCATTATCATATGTCATCTTTTTCGGAAAATATTGCTCTAACACATTTAAAACAAAATCCAATTGAATTTGTTAATTATAATAAACGACAAATGTCAAGAATTTATCCAAGAGGTGGAAGAGTTGAATCATCAAACTATATGCCACAAATTTTTTGGAATGCTGGTTGTCAAATGGTTTCCTTAAATTTTCAAACAGCCGATTTAGCTATGCAATTAAATCAAGGAAAATTTGAATATAATGGAAATTGCGGGTAAGTTCATGTATTCTTTCAATATTTTAGTCAAATTTTTAATAAAAATAAATCATTCTATTGACATCATTGTTAAATATTTAAACAAAATTGTTGGTTGTATCATAATATAAGATTGTATCAATATTATATAAAATTAATGAATCAATAATATTTACAGTTGATAATAAGACAACATAATAACACATTGAAAATAGTTACATGTTTGTAATGTTAGATTTGGTTTTTATACCGTCTATTTTTTAATAGATATCATTGTGTTATCGTCTGTAAGTTATATTTTATTTGAATCTGTAATAGTATTTTTTGCAGTGAATGGGAAAAGCTTATAAAGGAAAGTGTTAGATATAGATAATCATAAATAGATCGTAACAGTCTAACGTCTAATTGTGATATGAGGGAGAAAGAGAGAGAGAGAGAGTACGATAGAACAGAAAGAAAGAAAAGTACAAAACAGTTATTAAAATCGAACATTAAAATTATGAATTTTATTGTTGAACTAAATTATCGAAAAAAGTAAATCTGAGCTATTCGATTCCTTATCGTGTGCACTGCTATAGTGTGTTTTTCTAATCATACGGCTTATACATCATTCCATATCGTCACATTCAATTAGCTCAATTGAATGTCAAATCATCATATCAGCGGACTTTCTGATAATTTTTTTTAAACAATTTGAATCAGAAAATGGATATAAGATAAAAATCAACTAATCTCATGAAGATAATAGTTAAAAAAACTAAATAATAGAGTGTCTCTCCGCTATCAACATTGGTTAGTAAAAAATTCTTTGTTTAGCATTATCAAGTTGACTATTAGATTGTCTCTGTGAACTGCATGATGTATTTCATAATACATTTTCTTTGCTTTCCAACAGAGCAAATCATCATGAATTACAGATTGTCATCCTTTTTTTTTCTATTTTGATTTCATAAAATTTCAACAAACTGTTAGACGATATCGATATTATGATTAAGTTTTCAATTTTCTACTCTATTATATTAGTGTCATGTTTCATTTTTGTCAGTATGTCATCGATAAATATGAGAAAAACTTTGATAAAAAACAAAATAGAATGCATTAATTATCGAAATATTTGTAATGAAAAAAAACAAAAAAACAATTTTTTATTAATAGATGAGCGTTCATGTCTAAATAATAGAATTAACGTCACGCTATTTGCTATCTAAGTACAAAATTCAATTTCGAAAAATTTCACATTCAACGGATTTATGTCGACTAAGAAGCGGAAATATAAAGATCAGATAAAATATAAAATATTTTCATGATATAAAAAGTACTTTGAAGAATGAATTGCCTGACACTCCCCCACTTCTTATTCTCGTACGATAGATACGTACTAATGTTATGAATATAATTGACTGATCTAATGTCATCTAAGGACCAAAATATATATATATATTTTTCCTTCGAGAGGAGACATACCGGAAGAATAAGGAAAAAAAATTGACTTACAATCATGATTCAATAAACATAACATATAATTTAAAGTCTAATCATTTTATTAATAGAAATATCAGAGTCAAGAACTTTTAAGAATGAACAATGAACACGAATTGTTTGATTTTAATCGAATATTTATGAGAAATATACATTACATTGAATGAAAATATCATATTCTCGAATACGTGAATAAGAGAATATAAAAAGAGAGGAAATTGTTTATGTAGTAGATTTGTCCAAGGAATTAATATTTTCTGAAGAGTACAAAATTTCAATTGATCGTTGGATATTGGCAATAATAAATTAGGTTAACGAACAAACGATCACTAATGTTTGTTGTCATAATCGTAAATTATATGTCCAATAGTCTCTTTTCGATCTATAACTTCTTATATTCGGTTAGACTTCGTCAAAGTTTCACTTGTTTAAACTTTTTGTCTGTCTCTACTGTCTTTCACATCTATGACAAAATAAATTTGAACTTGAACTTGACGAAAAAAAAAGAAGAAGAGTGATACCAAAAGTTTCTACTAAGTCTACGGTTATTTAAAACTATGTCAAGCAGTGAATCAACAACCAGTTAAAATAAAATTTATCATGAACAACTTGTGAATGTCTATGAATGATAGCAATGATTAGCATTTGAGAACACTATGATACAAATAAAACACATTGAAATAAGAGAGTCGAACTATATGTTACTCTAACGACGTAGTAGATGGTAAACAAACATCAAGACATTTTAATTTGACAAAAACATCACATCTTATTTTTGTGAAAACTTCCTAAAACTTGTCTGTTTTCTGAAGGAAAAGGAAGTTTGAAGTATAAAGTTTATGTACGAGAATTTTTGTGGTTTGCAGAGGATTTTTTGTCAGTAGCTGTAAACACACACATTTCAGTAGTTGTAAACTTTCGGACTGAAATTGCGATTGATCATTTGGTGTTTACAGCTATTGAATGGACTAGTAACAGACAGTGCATTATCGATCTGATGTTGTTAGACACAAGTTTTAAAAATTATTATGATATATTGTTACATGTTCTATGTTATAGTCTATAGGAAGTTTTCACATTTTTGCTTTGGAGAAGCAATGTTGACAAGCTTTTTCAATTTCATTTTTGCTCTTTGTAAAAATTCTCTTACGAAAACTTTATTTTTTATTGTACACTTTTAGGTATTTATTAAAACCAAATTTTATGATACGTCCTGATCGTACATTTGATCCAAATGCTGAAAGTCCAGTTGATGGTGTTATAGCTGCTCATTGTTCAATAAGAATTATTAGTGGACAATTTTTATCTGATAAAAAAATTGGTACCTATGTTGAAGTAGATATGCATGGTCTACCAGCTGATACAATTAAAAAAGAATTTAGAACAAAAACAGTTCCATCAAATGGACTCAATCCAAGATATGATGAAGAACCATTTGTATTTAGAAAAGTATGTATAATAGAAAAAAATTTTTGCCAATATTTTTTATAGTTTATTATTAATTTACCTTTTGTTTTTCTTAGATTGTATTACCTGATTTAGCATTAATACGTATAGCTGTTTATGAAGAAACGGGTAAACTAATTGGTCAACGTGTATTACCTTTAGATGGTTTACAAGCGGGTTATAGACATATTTCATTACGTACAGAAGGTAATTTTCCATTATCATTACCAACAATATTTTGTGAAGTTGTATTAAAAACGTATATACCCGATGGTATGGGAGAATTTGTTGACTTGTTAAATAAACCACAATTACCAAAAACGGATGATCGTAATACTCTACAACCAGCTACAGGTGGAAATAGTGCATCATCGTTACTTAAAAAGAATCTTGATGGTATGTAAAAATTTTAATAAAAAAAATGAATTCTATTTGTTTATTTTTTCAATAGCTACAGCTACAGCAGATGGTGGTATGTCACCATTAAAAATTTCTGGTAAAGATTGTCAACAGACTCAATCTGGTCAACAGACAAATATTATCATTACACTTGATTATTTACGACAATTAAAAAGTTATCAAAAATTAGAACGAAAACAAGAAAAAGAATTACAATTAATGAAAAAAAAACATTCAAAAGAACAACAGATACTTGGTGAACAACAATCAAAAATAATGACAAAAGCAAAAGTTGATTGTGAAAAACATCAACAATTAACACCAAAATCAAGTACTGGATTATTGGGTAGTCAATCAACACCGGAAAAACGAAAAGATTTAATGTAAGAAAATGTTTATTATTATAAAAAAAAAAGTTCAAATTCTTTGTGAACAATATATTCTTTTCTATTATGGTAACTTGGCTCAGCATCGGCAATTAACAAAAACGTTTGCTTATGCAAAAGAAAAACAAAAATATTTTCTTGAGAAAAATTACAAAATAAATCTTAAAATACAAAATAAGCTTAAAAGTACCCTTAAATCATTCTTTTTTCTCATTTTAGTCATCTAATCATTTTGTTTTTTTTGTTTTTTCAATTCTCTAATTTAGAATCAAGGTAGTTGATAGTTTGTGCTAATTATTTTTTCTTTTACTAACATTAATCCTATGTGAATAAGACTAACACATAGTGTATAACTCTTAACTTCGACTAATTTACTAACTTTCTAATAATTAATCAATCAATCAATTAACATATACATGAATAAAATGATTTTCTATCATATTTTATTTTAGGAATGGCGGTCTACCAATCGAGATTCCTAAAACTGATCCAAAGGTAATATATCTGGGCTTTTTTTTTCTATATGAATTTTTTTGTTAGTAATATCATTTATATTTCTTCTAGTTAATGGAATTGATTAATGAACAAAACTTAGAATGGACTCAATCAATTCAACGTCAATTAAACGAATTACAAACATTAAGAAAACATCATATGAAAGAACAATGTGATCTATTAAAAGAATTATTAACTGAAACTCAAAAAACACAATTAAAAGAAATTAACGATAGACATTTGAGGTGATTATTCTACATTCTGTTACAAGAATAGATAATATGTGTCTAACGAATGTTTTAAAGAAAATTTACCACCTTTTACTATGATTTTTCTTCTCAAGTTAAATTTGTTTAAAAGGGCTCATTTTAATATCAAAAGAAATCATAGTAGGATAATCTTCAATAATTTTGTTTCATTTTTCTATTTCTAGAGAGAAAAAAGATTTAGAATTGAGTCAAGTACGTCAAAATCTTGAAGATACAAAAAAATTAGAAGCAGATAAAAGTGTTCGTAGTAAAGCCGAATTAGAACGACGTGTACGAGAATCAAAATCAAATAATACAAAAAAATTTGTAGAAGAACGAAAACGTCAAGGATATAAACAACAACGTGAATTAGAACTTTTAACAAAATCACATGATCAACAAAAATTAACATTAGGAAATGAAATTGATAAAGTAAGTTAAAAAACAACAAAAATATGTGACTATTTTATACATGTGCAATAATATCATCGAGACCGTGTTTCCGCATAATTTTATTTTAATTAATTATGCAGAGTCTGAGTTCTCGTACAGTAAAATTTGAAGTTCATTCTGGAATAGTTTATGTATATAACCATTACAGAAGTTTGATTCAATACATTTCTTTTTAATGAATATTTTCATTGACAATATAAATGAAAAATGAATCATTTTATGTCTTTATTTAGATGTTAGAACATAGTTTAAATTATCAAGATGAATCTCCATTAGCACGTTTTCCATCATCTTCGGTTTAATATAATCTCCAATGATAAATTTGTCGTTTTTCTTTGTCTACTGATATATTTTCTGAGCTTGTATATAGTACAGTTTTATATTTACTGTCACATCTTTTTTCTCTTTTTTTTTTCTTATTAAATTTTTCTTTCTCTCTGTCTCTCTCTTTCTCTCTCTGTGTCTTCAAATTCATATTTTATTTTATTTTTAATAATAGAGATGTGTGTGTGTGTATTTTTTCATGCTATGTTTTATATTTTTACGGTGATTATTTTTTGTTTATGTGTCTTTGTCAAGTAATCCTTCGGTGTTCAAACTAATTACATGAGAATATGGAAAAGAATGAATGGTTGTTTGTTTGTTTTGTTTTATTCGTTTTATCCCTCCGGTGTGTGTTTGCGTGTTTTTAAATTTTAAAACAGTGACATAATTCTCATTTTTCTTTTTTTTTATATGATGAACTCATACACAAACATTTTGATCTCTCATATCTTCCAACATTTATAAAGTTTATTGTTTAACTTTAAATAACAATATACGTAACAGATTGTTATATTTATTTATATTTTGTTCTAAAGGCGTGTGCTATGTAATGAGCTTTGTTTTTTTTTATTATTTAAATTGACAAAAAGACTTCAGACAAAATGATGAAATGATAATTTTCTATTGAACTATAAAAAGTTAGTGAAAGTCGAATATTAGAAAATAATTTCATTTCTACATTTTTTGCTTTAGTATCATCATTACAAATACATAGTATAAAAGTTATCTGATTATGATTAAAAAAGTTAGATTAGAACAAAATTTACATATATTTATCAATTTGTATTGGTTTTCTCTATCTAATGGTTTTCTCTAAATAAAAATTGCCTTTTTTTTGTTTTGTTTTTTTTTCTTTTTTTTGCTTTGTATACCATAATGTGCCTCTTTTAAATATATGTGAGTGTATCTTGTTTTACTCTATTTTATTATTTTCTTTTTCATCTATAATTATCTAAAATTGATCTAGTCGAATTACTACTCATATGTCTATTCTAACAGTCTCTCACCTTCTTTAGCACAACCGAATCCGGTGTTGTTCTGTTTGTTTTTAGTATTAGTTTTTTTCTTCTTAAACTTTTTTTTTTTTTGTTTTTATCTTTTCTTTTTTTTCTTTTTTCTTGTCTTTGCATTCCTCTTGTGCTACCGAGTTGAGTTAGTGGTTGTTCCTAGTCATCAAATTTTTTTCAAGTATAACGGGTCGTTTTTGCGCGTGTATTTGACCAAAAGTGCTTTTATTTTTATTCTTTATTTTCTACTTTTTCTGCTTTATAACTAACATAAAATAGAGTAAGAGTATGTATAATGAAGTTAGAATGTACGATTGTGTATATTTTATATGTTAACAAAAAATTGTATTTTATCTTTCTCTTTTTTCTCAATAAAGTGATTATCACTAATATATTTCAAAAATATTCATTTGTTTTATTCGATCATCTAAAAACAATCACAAAGACTTATAATTTAACGTAAAAGAATGATGTTTATGTTTAATAAATCAGTCGATTGAGTTATTACTGTGGTTATTGTGTGAGTGACAATGAAAACTTATATTTAATGCATTTTGTGTTTTTTTATTATTCTTTTCATTGATGATGATTAAGATTGGTGTTACGGACAAATTTTTCACTTTTTGTGTTGTTGTTTTTGCACAAAAATAATGACAGTAGCAATAGTTTCAATGATAATGGCACATTTATCTAAAAGAGTAGATCATTTTTTGGGATTTTCTCTTGTAGATTACCGTTAGGTCAAGTGAGCCTAAAAAATATCCTGTTTTTTTTTTAATATTTTTACAAATCTATCATTTTTTCTTTCGAGTCTAACTTGGCACCTTGATCTGTCTGTTTCGCACACACATATCAAGTTTTATACCATCAGAAATGATTGGTTGTTCGACTTAAAATTATTCTCAATATCTTAAAATATATTATCGTAAGAAAAAATCTTCTGAAAAACGTTTTAGGTTTTTTGATCAAAAAAATATCTTAGAAAATGTTTGAGAACTAGATCATTCGATGCAGTATTGCACACTGATTCCAAATATCGCTTCATTTCTAATTGAAAATATTCTTGAACAAAAAAAATAAACGAATTTTTACCTAGAAAACCAGAAGGTTTTGGAAATCCCATACCGACGTCCAAAAGGAATAAAATCATACTTTACCACATTCATCATAGATATAGCATATATATAAACAAACACCTTATAATTTAATTGACTATAATAAACAAATTATTTTATCGTATATCATTGTGTTGATACACTAATTTTTAGCTAAGCATTTATCTACGATTCATAACAACTGCAACAAAACTTCTTAAGGCAATAGTTAGTTCATTTCTCAAAGTATATTTTCTTCTATTTCAATTCAGAAAAGGCGTACTTTCGATTTTTGACTAAATATCTATCTCGATGCACACTGTGATGGGGGCGTGCTCGAGACAAAACTTAACTTTACTAAATTGATCTCGTGGGTTCGGAATAAGAAAAAACGTTGTAACTTTTATTTTTTGTTTGTAATTATGCGGCAACTTCAAATGTTTCATGCCTGTAATGCATCAAATGAGAATCATAAAGTTGTAAGAACTATCATAATTTTTAATTCTAAACGTATTCAAGTCTATTTTAAAACAACTGACAAGACTGAGACTTGCATTGAATAAATAAATCAATGTAAAGTGTATTTTTATCTATTCTATATCTTCTGTGATATCTACTTGGTATTATCGAAGAAAAAGTTCTGATAAATTTTTGTTAATAAACAATGTAGAATTATTAATTATTTTTGATTAATCGTTTAGAATGAAATTGTATTGAAGAAATGCTATGACATTGTGTCCTATGCAATCTTCGTTGTGATGAAATGACATATGTAATTTACTAAAGAATGTATATACAATAATAATGTTTGTTTAATACGACAACATACATTAAAAACATCAACTACTATCCATTTCAAAAAAGAATGGACTCGGTTGCTTTTTGAATAACTCAGGAACGTTACTAGCTAGCGAGTTTGGGTCTTCTCCGTCGAATTGACGACATCTGGAGGCATCCAGGCATGTCGTAATCATCGGGCTTGCCAAGATCTTTGAGGAATTTCTAGAAGGTCTCTGGAAAACCACCCTCGCGCGAGTTAGAAATTTTGATTCTTCTGGGTGGGTACGATTTGCCATACTGTCCTCTACAAAAATACGCAAGACTAAGCTCGCTAGCTTGTTCCGTTCAGGAGCTATAAGCATTTTCCCAATAGTCCCGATTTCGACTAGTTGACCTTGAATTATCCTAAAATGGGTCAAGATAGGGGTAATCGACCATGCTCAATCGTGTGGTGATGTTTATTTTTAGTTTTAAACCGATCTAAAGTCACCATAACATGATTTTCAAACTATCCACTGTATACGCAACATAGCGGCAGAATGCTGGAATTAGAAAATCTTGATATAGTGACTTTAGATCGGTTTAAAATCAAAAATAAACATCACCACACGATTGAGCATGGTCGATT